TTAAAGACTTTTTCATAATGTCACTAGTTTGTAGGAAGTGATTGAAGTCTGAGTTCTATTGCACACGGTCATGAACTAGCTACTTATCTGTAAACTGGGGCCTGCATTGTTTTTTTCACTTTTTCACAAGTTAGCCACCTAAGATCCTGCTAAAAGATTAAGCATTATGTTAAATATATCATTAAAAACCCACCATCTAGTGCAGGTCAAGAGGCCTAAAAACCTGATGCCATTAAAATTACAGTTCCAAACTGGCAGAAAACACACTCCTCACAGCCTAAAAGTGGAGGGGTTTATCTCATCAAGAGAAGGAAAAGCAGTCATGGCTCCTTTAGGGCTACCCTCTTTTGGGTTACCAAGATTGGCTGCCTGGAGGCCAGAAATGATTGGAAGCAGTGTGGGTGGGGGTACAACTTACCTGTTTGTACAGGGAATGTGCAGTGTTCATTCCTACCACCACCAGTGGACCAGGGTTTATCATAAGTGACTGGTGCCTCCCAAGTCTGGGGGGCACCCGCAGAAGCTGGCATTGGCAGTGGTGGCGGGGATGGGGCTTGCAAGCACCTGCAGAAGCCGCTGGCAGCAGCAGGGATGGTGCTGGCAAGCACCCACAGAAGCCAGCGGCAGCATTCGTGGTGGGGGACAGCCCTGTCAGGGGGGCACGTGACCGCCGTGCTCCCTCTACCAGTTGCCTAGGGGGTTAATGACCAAAATGCAGGATTACTCCACCTCACTTTTTCTTTTAGGCCTAGGAAGGATTTTTCCTCTTATAACAGGCCTTCTTTCCCCTCTCCCCCACCCCTCCTTTCTTTCCCCACAACTGGTTGTGTATGCCAGGGTCACAATGTCACTGCTTAGCAGGCTTGTAGTTCAGATGCTTGTTCCATTGAGGGGTCCAGTTCCCAGATATACCAGATCTGGAAGTATACTTAAGGGAAGGTATCTTCTAAGGAAGCAATGGCCCCTAATGTCTGGTACAGCTGGGAGGCAATCCTATTTGCTCATCACCTTGGATCCAGGGTAAGATGGAAGAGACCTGGCAACACAGCCCCTGGCCCCTAATTCCTCCCCCACCTTCGCCCATAAAATAGGACTGGTAGGGCCCAGCTGGGTCAAGGAGTCCAGCCCCATGCCATTACTGTCAGTTATACAGCTGCCTGTAACTCCCAAAGTCTCTAAAGAGAAATCCAGTCTGCCTCCCCCTTCACACCCCTCCAATATACCAGAAACCTGCCAACACCAACCTTAGGATCTTCAGTAGAAAAAAACCACTAAGCCCAATGTGCTATAGGAAGAAAGCCAGAGAAACCAAGGGTGCTGCCTATACTTCAAGGGATTTGTCCAGGGGAAATGCTTCACTGCAATTACAGGGGATTTGTTAGGGAAAACATGTCCAGATGAACCTAGGAATGGACTGTGCCTAGTGCTACAGAGGAAGGCAAAAACCTCCACAATCTTAGACTGTCTGACCTGGGAAAAATGTCTTTCCTGACCCCACATCTGACTTGCTTTAGTTCTCAACATGTAAACGAGACACCAGCAAGGTACCAGAGATGTTTCTCAGTACTACTACATACAAACTGCATGTGTGATATGTAAGGAAGGGGCTGTCATTCAAGAATTGTGCTCTGTAGCCACTCTCTCAGGTGTTCAATGAGCTGATGCCTCTCTTGGCACAAATATATTGTCTCAAGACAGACAGAACCAGTAGTATAGTACAACCAGTGCCTCCCACATAATCTTGGATATTTCAGAGGAAGGCTACACATGCCCACACCCACAAGCCTAGTTACTCATTCAAGGAGGAATAAAATTCTTCCTTACCCCTGGTAACAACCAGTGGAAGCCCAGAAGCATTGGATTAATGGATTACATGTAATAACAATATGATCCAAGAAGTATATTAAGAGCTTAAGGAGAAGGAGAATAAATGGAAAGGAATCTAATCCAGAAAGGGCAGGCATAGCTACTCAGCCTGGCCTTCCTGGAATGATAAAAAATAATGATCTTCAGCGTGTGATTCATTATTGGGTAGTGTTCCTAAAGGAGTTAATTAAGTTACTACCTAATTAAAGCTTATCCTTGGCATCCTGGCATTCTTCATAGTCAAGACAAAATGTGATCAGTAGAGTGGTGGTGAACAGAGTAGGCAAGATGTGTCCAAACCTTAAACACTCACTCTCTCAAGATTATATCACGAATTAGCACACAGTGTCAAAAGCAAAAGAAAGTTATCTTATGCCCTCTGTGCTATTCTGACTTGTGAGAAGCAGCAATTTAAGAAACAAAATTAGCATGGATTATTTTATTGGCATTATTATTGCTTTAAATGCTGGGGTTCTACTTTAGCAGCCATATAATTCAACCCTTGCTGACATTCCTGTATAAATGACTGCATTTATAGCATCTTGAAAAGATCTGGCTTCCTTTGTTTAAATCATATAGATTTAGGTTCAAATTAAGTTAATAGGATAGATTTTTTTTAAACAGTTGAGTGGGTAGGCAAGAATTTAATGTGCTGGTCAACTATATCATTCACACACCATTTAGTATCTGCCACTATAAATTACTAGCTTGTTCTAGTAGCCTATAGCAATATTTCAAACATTTTTTAGTCTGCCTTATGCTATACTCTGAAAGTGTAACTGCATAGGCCCCAGTCAGACAGTCACACAAACCCCTCCCCCTAACAGCTGAGGGTCAGGGAAAATCCAGCACTTCTCCACAGCCACCAATCCCCCCCATCCCACCCCCAGATCAGCCCCTGGGCTTTAAATGTTGCCCTCCTCCTCTCCCCCGTGGGGCTGCTTTTGAATTTCAACAATTGAATACTGAATTCAGTAGCTTGTCTAAGTCTATTCCAACCAAGCAGTTTGTCCAGTAAGAGATCTTGCCCACAAAAATTCTTGCCCCACATATTTCCTGGAGCATCCTGGCTACAACATCACTCTGAATACTACCTAAACTCCTTATTAAAATTGTTACTTCTTTTGTTCTTTGTTACTAGTTAAGGCAAGTAGTAAAGTTGTAAGCATTCGCAATAGGGCTTTATAAGAAGACTTTTCCCCTAAGGCTAGGGTCAGACATTCAAAAAGCCTGAGGCTGAATTCATCCAATATTTGCAGGTTAGTCTAACCTGGCTAGGCTGAACTGGTTTGTAACTGGACAGACATTTTCTCTGGACAGGAAATTCAGGCACATGCCTGCAGTGGCTCAAGCTAGAAGTCAGGGGCGCACTGGAACAGCCCTCCCATCATTCCACAGTGCTGAGCTGAAGGGGGACGTGTCCAGGACCTGGCAGGACCTCTGATTAGGGAGGTCTGCCTGCACCATCCCAGGCTTTTCCCTGCTTGCTGCTCAAGGGGCAAGAGTGTTACCAGCCCCCTGCTAGTACTCTGAGGCAGGGGGGACACGCAATGCATGCATCTGTTGACCATATGTAACTTTTCGATCTTCCTCCCTGTTTTTTTATACTGTCTGCAGCAAACTGACAGGCAAGCAAGCCAGCAGGAGGCTGATAACAGTGTTTATCACCTCATCGGCAAAACAATAGGCTCTCTCCATTAATTCAAACTCTTCTTAAACAGCTTACCAACTGACTTGCTGATTAACTCCAAAAGCCCAAGTGGTCACTGTTCTGTCTGCCTTTCCCAGTGACATTGGAGACACACACAGATACCTCTTGGAATTAGCCAACATACCATATGCCTTGAGTCCCTGGGACTGGGGTCTGTGTTGTGGGAGATAGCAGGGAGGGAGGGAGGAGGGATCCCTGCTTGTCCAACAAGCAGTGAAGTGTGTGTGTGTGTGGGGGGGGGGGTAGGTAGAGCAGGGTGAAGCCATGGAGCTGCAGCCAGGGAGCAGAGGGGAGGGGCCAGCCCTGCGTGGAGCAGAGAGCCCCGCCCAGCAGCATCTCACCAGTTCAGTTGCAAAAGGCCTTTAGAAGAGGTGGATATAGGGTTTACATTTAGCTTATGAATCATCCCTTAGTATTCTTAAGCCACATTCTCTTAACAAAGGTAAATTAGATAAGGCAGAATGGTGCATGGCTTATAGATCTTTGTAACCAAAACCCAGCAGCTTGTCCTGTTGAATTATCAGTCTCTATAGCTGCTTATTGGAAGGTCCAGTTCTTTAGGTCCAGCAGTAACTTTGTAAGAAAGATACTGAAATTAGAAGCTATGTCAAAGCGTGGACAATGTGCACAGTTAATTCCTTATGATTATACAAACAGTGATAATGATCACATGAATGACATCTATTTAAAATCATTTACCCATGACAAGAGATCAAAATAATTTTTTTAATAAGGGGAAAAACTGGTAAGAACAAGCTTAATATAAGACAGACTACTCTTCTGAATCTCCTGAGTGCAATGGTTGGTCCATAGAAACACCCCTTTGTAATGATGAGCCCCACTTCGTCTAATATATTTGTGTGTGTATGTGTCTGGTCTTATATTAAGAGGAGACTTATGTGTTGGAGTTAACTGTTGTTAGGCACCTTAGAGAAAGTAGATCTGTATTCTGACTTGTAGAAGGCAGAGCTGGGAGTTGAGCACCCAGTCACAAAGGTCTTTTCATTCCCCTTCACAAGCAGTGATGAAAAATAGCACACCAAGGCCACCTGTCTGCACAATGAAAGCCAAACTACTAAAGGCACCAGGGTTGGTTATAGCCCCACTATTAGAATAGAAGCTAAAGGGTGGGATTGATTTTTTAACAGTTAGTGCTCAAAAAGGGCTGCCAACCCAATATTACAGTACAAACAATAATGACAAACGCATGGGTGAGAACTTTGCCCAGCCTGTTACAGAGACATAGTCCACACACTATAGTGTATGTAAACCAAAGAAAAGACATTCACAAGTTTTCATTTTATCAACAATGAAACAGTTATACCAGTAAATATCAGCCCATATCTTCATCTTATTCTTAACCTCTCTCAGTGCTCTTTTCTTTCAGGTATGCTGTACCCAAACCTTATATCTTTATATCCAGATGGTAGAAATCACCTGCGTCCAGGGCCGTCCCTGAGGGGGGTGAGAATCGGGGTGACCACCCTGGGCCCCGCACTTTGGGGGGCTCTGCGGACAGTGCCATACAGGCCCCGTTGCGGATGCCACACACTACCACTGTCGAGCGCTGCTGGTTGTGCCACTGCCAAGTGCTGCCGGCTCCGGCCACTCGCCACCCCCTCATTTCTTCTCCCCTGCTCCCCAATCCACTGGCTGTGTCCACTCTCCACTGGGCCCTGCACACCCCTATGGACAGCTCTGCATCAGTGAGTCAGCAGAGCTCATGTAACTCTTTCTCACCAGGATAAACACCTGAGAAGAAGGTAGGGTGTTTTAGATACTGCCAAGCTCTACAACAATACTCTCAGTACCATTGAGAAAGCTGGACATAAGGATAATAACTCTTGAAGTAATGGTTATTTACATACTTGTACCCCTACCAACACAACTAGCAAGTATATGCAGTGTCAAATAAATACAATACAAGTCCAAAATTATGATCTATATGATCAAATACCTCACCTTGATAATCTGCCCTTTCTCTGTAGTACTCCTGTTGACATAAAAACAAATTCTGTTACTTGAAAAATGAATTCATACCAATTGTTGAATGTAGCAGATGTACAAAATAGGCATGTGCCGTCTCTGAGATGCATAAAAAACCCAGATAGGTAAGCTATGAGACTGTCTTCCAAAATTTAAACAATTACCTTTTTTTTCTTTATCCATCCATAAAATGTGTTCATCTTATGAGAGCCTAACTATTAAAGAGTAGGACAGGATCTGTGAGAGGATTATCTCACACCTTCATCTGAAATATATCAGACAGGAAACCCCAAGCCAGACAGATATTGGACCTGATCAAGTACGGCAAATCCTGTTTCTAATATCTGAGATATTCCTGATCCCTGATCCTTCCATGTGGTACTGATGCCAACTTATATGGGAGGACTGCACTAACATAAGGTAAAAGAAATATTCATCTGTTTATTATTTTGCACCTTTCTTTACCTTCTGAAAGCAAGGATAAGCTTGAAGCTCCCCACATTCCAATGTGTTTGTTTCTGTTACATTAGTTTAATTGACTAATGATGTGACTGGATTTACTCGTTGCACAACATTACCCTATACTGCAGTTGCATGACATCTACCTACACATTTCCTTTTAAAACCCCATGTATCACTGGCCACTGTTATTGCCTTGTGTGACTCCAGTACAGAGTATGCGTGTCCAGTATGGGAATGATGAGTTCATTCCAAGAAACCAGACCCAGTTCTAAATGACAGCTGTTGTGAAATAACAGGATGTCTAAAGCCAACGCCAAAGGATAGCCTGTACTTACTGGCAGTATTGCACCACCTGATATCAGAAGAAAGGTAGCAAGCCAAAAAGAAAAATCAC